AACAAAAAAGGACGTTTCGCTTCTCTCACAGAAGCTTCGTCAGCGGTAGACAACCCTGAAGTCTCCGTGAAGACTCCGGGAAATTGCTCTGCGCTAAAAAGCTGAGCGTGGCCTATTTGAGGACTGGGTGGGGATGGTTAGTCACGCCCCTATGGTGAAGAGGCCCATTGATTTCGAAATTCCCTATCGTTGGGTCTTGATTAGGTCTATTGTTAGGGCTAGGGCTGAATAGCTACTTTCAGTTAGCCTGATCAGCATGTCTATGTCCCTTGGTGGTCAACAAGTTATTGTAAATAGGAGACAGGTTAAATCTGATACCTCCTTCATGGTTCAGAGAGGGTGAAAATTTTTTAACAAAAATCGTGACGAACCATCTGCAAAACATACAGACAACTTTGGTCTTGTCAGTGGAACAATGTGGCAACTTATTTAAAGTGAACTTTCCATTCATGAACTCTTTAAGTATCCATTTTCAGTTTCTCGCGCTGCTGTGGCTGGCAAAACAAACATCTGCGTAGACCTGTGCAGCGCGCTTGTTGTTTTGTTTCTGCTTTGTATATAGAACAACGTAACATCCGCTGGGACGTGTGCTGCGTTAATCTCGTAAGAAAAAATGCAAACACATTAAAATTCATTTTAAATTAACGCAGATAATGCGCGAAACAGAGAGAGAGAGAGAGAGAGAGAGAGAGAGAGAGAGAGAGAGAGCGAGAGAGAGAGCGAGAGAGAGCGAGCACAGAGGCACTCATCCCGGCTGCACAGGATCAGGCCCTTAGCACCAGAGCCACAGAGGCCCAGATATACCACAACAGACAACAAGACCCAAGGTGTAGGTTGTGCAAAGAGGCACCCGAGACAATCCAACACATAACTGCAGGGTGTAAGATGCTGGCAGGGAAAGCCTTCATGGAAGACCATTACAAGGTGGCTGGCATCGTCAACCGAAACATCTGTGCGGAGTATGGACTGGAAACCCCAAGGTCAAAATGGGAAACACCCCCAAAGGTGGTGGAGAATGACGCTTTGGGACTTCCAGATCCAGACTGACAAGATGGTAATGGCGAACCAACCAGATATTGTGATCATAGATAAAGGGCAGAGGAAAACCATTGTAGTGGATGTAGCGGTCCCAAGTGATGGAAACATCAGAAAGAAGGCACAAGGGAAACTCGAGAAATATCAAGGGCTCAGAGAGGAGCTGGAGAGAGCCTGGATGGTAAAGGTAACAGTCGTGCCTGGAGTGGTCGGCGCACTCGGGGCAGTGACCCCCAAACTAGATGAGTGGTTGCAACAGATCCTGGGAACAACATTGGACATCTCAGTCCAGAAATGTGCAGTGCTGGGAACAGCAAGGATACTGCGCAGAACTCTCAAGCTTCCTGGCCTCTGGTAGAGGACCCAAGCTGAATGGGGGATGGACACCACCAGAGGGGTCAGACAGGGATTTTTTTATGTCATGAAGAATCCATAAGTTTTCCTGTATGACATCATTAACAATGATCATTTTCTAAATCATTACAACAACAACAAAAAATACTTTTCAATCCACTCAAGGAAAAGAAAACTTCAGCATTGAAATAAGAAGATAGATGAAATCCAATTTGCCTGATGAAGCCTGATTCGATGGGAGTGGAAAATTTCATCGATAACTGTTCATCTCATCATCACACTTGTGATTCTGAATCTGAGACTTCCACGAGAATCTTTGGCCACAAACTGAGCAGGCAAAAGGTTTCTCACCAGTGTGGGTTTTTGTGTGTTCTATTAAGTTTCCCATCTGGGGGAATCTTTTCCCACAAACTGAGCATGAATAGGGTTTCTCGCCAGTGTGCTTTCTGGTGTGAGAATCTTTGGCCACAAACTGAGCAGGAAAAAGGTTTCTCACCAGTGTGGATTCTTGTGTGCATTTTTAAGTTTCCCTTATGGGAGAATCTTTGGCCACAAACTAAGCAGGAAAAAGGTTTCTCACCAGTGTGTATTCTTCCGTGCGTTTTTAAGTTTCCCTTCTGAGAGTATCTTTGGCCACAAACGAAGCAGGCAAAAGTTTTCTCACCAGTGTGGGTTCTGGTGTGTCTTTTTACTCCTTCTGAGAGAATCTCTGGCCACAAACTAAGCAGGCCAAAGGCTTCTCACCAGTGTGGATTCTCACATGTATTTTCAAAGCATTCTGACAAGTAAATATCTTCCCACACTGAGAACATTTCCAGGGTTTGTATTCAGTGTGACATGTCAGATCACCATCAGACTCTTCATCCTCATCATCATCAACATTTGATGTTGTGTTATCACCATCTTTCGTGCAAGGGTAATTTGGCTCCTCCTCTCTTTTAATG